TAATAGATTATAAACTATACCATGTTTAAATAGACTCCTAAGTTATTATTTCATATGTACCTGTAAGAAAAGGGAGGGAAGAGTCAATTATATTGAGTAATTGATTTTATATTGGGTAATTTATTTCTCAAACCTATGTTTTATGGAAGAGACTAAATATTTCTGATAAACTAATATTTTATCAAAAGGTAAATGGTGAATTAATATACATTTAGAATCATTGAGAAGGGGACAAGCCACAGGGACAAGCTCACCTTTAACTTACAATAACATGTCTCTGCTATGGACTGATGAGTATATGATTCTTGCATGTTCAATGACTAACACAAACCTTCAAAATGATAATGTGCATGTGTCAGGAAGGCTCCCAAATAATTCTGAGGGGCCTATCCTATTTTTGTAATTAAATGATAATGTGCTAATCCATTACTTTGAGTTGTCTTCACTCACAGAAAAACATCCCTATCGGGTGTTAACCCAATAACTAGGACAGCTCTCAAGGCCAAGGGTCAGAGAGAGAGGGTCACACTCTCCGGGTGCAGAGAGCACCCCCAGCCACGTGCAAGGAAGCACGAGGTCGTTCGAGATGGGATGCTTCTCTTCACCTTTCTGATGAGAGGGGGTTCTTCTCTTCATCTTTCTGCTCGGTGGGCTCTAGCAGACAACCCTGCAGGACGAGCGAGGGTTTCAGAGGCTTCTATAATACAATGTTCCATGTTTCTTGGAGGAGTTTGATGTCTTCCTAACCTCTCCCATCACGGGGGGGACACCTGGATGCATCAGGAATACGCAACAGATCTTCAGAGACTGGTAAGTGTGATTTCAAATCTACTATTTATAAAATAATATTTATACGTTTCTGTTTTCAAAATACCAAACAGATCATGCATTTTAGCCATGCCTCATTTCGCTCTATGTGCTGTTTGCTGTCTACGGGTCTGATTCTGCTGACCACGCCCCCCTGCAGGAGAGGTGAGCCGTGCTCTGATCAGCTGCTGGGCTGTCAGAAGAGGGGGAGAAAAAGAGATCTCCGTCCTCCGTGTTTTATTATATAGAGTCGTTATTCATTTGTTTTAAAGCTCAATAAATAACAAAGAAGACCTTTGACCGGCACTTTTCTAATTTTGTCCGGAAGATTTAAACTTTAACGGACATCTTGACCGGCGAAAGTAACTGAAACTGAAACTCTGCCGCACGGTCCCCTCGTTCTAAGGGTTCCTTAGTCCTGCTGGTGGACTAACCGGAGAGAATTACAATGCTTGCCTCGACGGGGAGGGATTGCATTTAATTAAAGCAGCGGGAGCAAACGCTTGCCTCGGGGAGGGAGAAAAAAAGCCACAGCGGAGAATAAACAGAAGGGTACCATTACCATGGTAACTATGGGCCGGAAGTCTTCTTCGCTGCTTTTGTGGCAGACTACAGCGCCACTTACAGGCCTGGCATATGTACTACAACGTCTCCAGCGCTTTCGAGCGGCAATGGCCGGCCGTGGCCCAACCCCACATTCCCCTGATAGGTGGAGAGTTGGCCCAATAGCCGTAGCGCCACTTCTGTGACGACATAGAAGTGTTCAAATCTGGATCAGTCTGTATCAGATCCGTTGCAGCCCCTTTTTTAGAGGAAAATAGAGAGGGTTGTGTTTTCTGACACTTGGTGAGTTCCCTGGAACACCGGGGACACATATTCATGTATAAAAGACGTACAAAAGTGCATTTTGCATGATAGGTCCCCTTAGTAGATTTGAATGACCACTGCAAGTCTTTTGACAACCACTTTGAAACTGCATAACAAATACTGGCACTTAGATATCATTATTGTTGTTATTTTCATTGTATATTTCTTTTCCTCTGTCTTAACCCTGAGAAAAACATTTTAAGCTTCTTAAAACGGTAGGCATGCGTCTAACCCACCTTTTTCAGTCACACGGCTTTTTGGCATCGAGAAATCCCTTATGTGATTTTGACAGAGTTAAAAGGGCTAGTTGTAGGCCTAAACCTCAATTTTTTTGCTCATGTATTTGTTAAAGGGAATTTAAAACATTAACCTTTGGACTTTTTATAATTTTGTGGGAATGCTGATAACAGCATTTCAACTATATGTTATGCTACGGACAAAAAGTTTATTATTCCGCCCACTTATTTTGGCCCTCTTCTTCTCCCACATTCAACATCGCAGAAACTCTGTTCAAACATCAAAACGTTCAGCTCGGTCGGGAATCGATGGCTATTACTTTTATCATTCATAACTTTCATAATTCCAGAGATACATCCCATAATACATCACATTTTTAACCATTGAAATCAATGGAGAAATTCTTCAGACTTCAACAAATCTTCATGCGACTTCAACTGCTAACTGTTCATTCATACTTTCACTCAGAAACCTCATTCCAACTTTAAAATGTTACACATCTTTCTGACATTATTCGTGTAACACAACTTTTAAATCTGATTCTTACTTTTAGAGATATTAAACATTGTTCAGACCTTGTTAAAGAGGTTTTCTTCAGATTTTAACATTAACTAGAGTGCGTGATGTCACAGCTAGAGTGGAGCAAATCTTGAAATTTGCCTTGATATTTTTTTTTAAAACTGCCATAATTCCCAAACCCTACATTCCTGAGACATAATTTTTCATGACAAACGTAGGAAAACATCTCGTAGCTTGAAAAATGACAAATAATTAAGCAAAAATAATTAAACAAAATGCCTCTTGAGGGCATGAAGTGACAAAAACGTTCAACATGTCTCCGTTAAAACCCATTGTAATTTCAGGCTGATATTTCCTCACGGCAGCAGCCGCACACCTTTAGTTAAACTGCCAAAAAGGCCACATTATTAACCCGAAAGTAAACAAAAATTACACTTCAGATACTCAACTTCCTTGACATGCTTCACGTTTTGAGATATAGATACGTTTTCACAGATATCTGTTATGGTTCTTCCACAAAACGTTCACATGTAAGAGGTTTATCTCTCATTCAGAACAATGGAAACCTTTGATCTCTGCACACCTCGTTAGCTCAAATATAAACACCTGTGTCATGGAACACGATGATGTCATCACTCCAACTGACATGCTCAGAGCAGCAGACTTCAGATAAAGGTTAATGGTCCTGCCCTCAACAGCTCTACGTCAATTATGGGGTGTCATCATCATATGCCGAAGATCAAGAAAAGAGAGAGAGAAGAGAGAGAGTAATGTAACCTCCTAATGTAATGTATAACTCCTATGAAATGTTCAAAAAGTGCTCAAACTTCACATGTGTGCTAACAGTCCAGCCGTGAAGACATCTACGGGACAGTTTTGAGATTTCTTCATATGCCGTTGCCATGGCAACACAATGCTCGCCTTGAAACACGGTTTTATCATAACTTCAGTGAAAATACTCCAAACAGCCCAAAACTTCACAGGTTTGGTAAGGATGCAGTCATCAACGTATCTAAGCGTATTATGGGGTGTCATCAAATGCCGTTGCCATGGCGACAGACAACTCGCCATGAAACAAATGTCGCTGTAAGTCCAATCGACGCGGTCCAATCGTCCCCCAATCTTCACTTGTATATCACCGGTCCAGCCCTCAACAGCTCTATGTCAATTATGGGGTTTCATCATATGCCGATTCCATGGAAACGCATCCCTCGCCATAAAACACGATGTCGCTATAACTCCTATGAAAATGTTCAAAAAGTGCTCAAACTTCACATGTGTGCTAACAGTCCAGCCGTGAAGACATCTACGGGATATGCCGTTGCCATGGCAACACAATGCTCACCATGAAACACGGTTTTCTCATAACTTCAGTGAAAATGCTCCAAACGGCCCAAAACGTCACAGGTTTGGTAACGATGCAGCCATCAACGCATCTAAGCGTATTATGGGATGTCATCAAATGCCGTTGGCATGGCGACAGATCATTCGCCATCAAGTTAGTTCAAAAGTTTGCAGTTCAAATATTCTGCTGCTTTTCCAAGCCTTTTTACTTTCTTTTCTTCTCTCATCACACATTCAAGCCCCCAGTGTTCATGTATCATTTCAATCTAAATTCTTCACTTTCTTCTTACACATTACATTTCAGCATAGCAATTCAGCATCAGCTTTTCAGCATAAAGCATTCCCACTAGCAATTTCTTCAGGAATTGCATTCTCTAGTTGGAACATGATATTCAGTCTATGACAGCGCAACAATTCTTATGTGGATTAAAGGTTAACAGCAATTGCCAAATTGATAGTTTGGAAGAGTGAGCGCTTTCCGTGAAGTTGCACCATAAGTTGCACCTACTTTATAGTAGATAGACCCATGCAGGGATCTCTCTTTTCTCGCCACACACACTTTTTCACCTGTGCCCTCCTCAGCTGTAATGTGTAAGCAGATGTATGTGCAATTCCTGAAATAGTCTTGAGAAACTAAAGATGAATAGCATTGAGTAAATCCATACTGTTACTCAGTTACAATTACTTATTAACATTTACGTTCCTGTAGATGCTGGTGAGTAAATGTTTAGGTTGCAGGGCTCTGTTAGGAGAAAATTGATGTTCCTACATTTGGCTGGGTGACAAGAACATGCAGAGGCCGAAGTCAGTGGTCAAAGTTTGATCAGAGGCAGATAAGATCAGTTGTTAATGTGCGCACACACAAACATGAAGAGCACGACTGCCAGGTAAATAAATCATCGAAGCCTGCAGAGATTATGCCATCATGCCTCTTTGTCTAAAATATGCATACAGGCATTCCTCATCAGATTACTCCTAAACCAAATAAGACTACCAGGTCCAGTTTCACTAACTCCCTTACAAGTCACAAGAAACATTCATCGGCCCTGCGTTGACCATTGTATCCACAAATAAAGACTTTTGATCTTTTCCACTCCCTGTTTTCTTTCTCTCCCCTTTTTTTAATCATTATTTTCTCCTCACTCCTCCTCCAAACCACATTATTCAATCAATAACAAGTGCATGTGTTGTATTCCTGAACCCAGATAGACCGACTGCCCCTCTCCTTGTTCTCTCTTCCCCACTCCCTCCCGTTCCCTTGGCTTTACTCCCTCCTCTCTCCCTTCTCTCTTCTTTTCCTGAGTTTGAATGGAGAAGCTGGGTTCCCCGGATCCTGCAGACCCTCCGCCGGGTGCAGGGCCCGTTGCTGGGGTTTCTGTTGGCAGGAGCTCAGGGGCCGAGGAAGACGAGGAAGACGAGGCAGCAGTCAGCTCCAAACTGTTTCGGTGTGCATGCGTGAGACGCTGGGTACCACTGGTCTACAGAGAAGAACTCTACCAAGTCTTACGGCTCACGGGCCCACTGGTGAGTAGGGGAAAGTTCAAGTGTTGTTTGTTGGGGGGGATTGGTATGTTATTCATAAAGTGCCACCACTGTTATACACTTAGTTCTTATATTCACTGTGTGCAGAGTTACTGGTGAATGTTGCATAGTACAGTGAATATGCAGTTATGTAATATATACACAGCATGCAATGACATATAATGGTGCTTAAACCTGTCTGTGCTTTTTGATTTCCCAAAGCTGAGCACACATAAGCTGTCCAGTTACTATTAGAGCATATTGTACTGTAGTTTTCAGTCATTGATGGCCTGAAATGAGTGAAATCTTTCTGATTGTTTCTGCAGCTGCTGTTTCGGATTCTGAACTTCCTCCTGCCGTTTGTTAACACCATATTCTGTGGTCACATTGGCAATGCAGAACTGGCAGGATACGCACTGGCCTCAGCGGTACCCTTTTAAACCCTTTGTACACTACTCTGATTATAAATGATGCAACTAGAGTAGTACAACTACTACAAGTCTACTGCTTCCACTGAAAACGTTCATACTCCCAATTAGAACATCTTTAGTATTATATCTGTTTTGTGTCATGATACTCGTTTGTACCTCATGCGTAGCTTACTTTATAGACCAACTGGCAGAGACTTGAAATGTAAAAGAGCTGTTGTGCAATCAACTGCACAGCTGTGTCGCTCTCACCAACGCTTGTAACCATTGTGTTTGTCACAATTTGTATGAATAGCTAAAGGTAACTACATAGCTCTGCAGGAAGATAACATTCTTATCCTGACTCAGATTGGTTGCTCCATCTGGCAGAAACAGCCATCAGCGAACAAAACACCAGCCTAACACATCAGTTTCTCAAATATTTCACTGGTAGTCAGTTGAGATCTAGTTATTTAGTGGGAATGCTGTTAACAGCATTCCAACTATCTGTTGTTCTACGCACAAAATTCTTTATTATTCCGCCGGAATTTTGCACCTCTTCTCCTCCCGCATTGAACATCGCAGAAACTCAGTTCAAACATCAAAACGTTCAGCTCGGTCGGGAATCGATGGCTATTACTTTTCTCATTCATAACTTTTATAATTCCAGAGATACATCCCATAATTCATCAAATTTTTAACATGGAAGTCAATGGAGAAATTCTTCAGACTTCAACAAATCTTCATGCGAATTCAACTGCTAACTGTTCATTCATACTTTCACTCAGAAACCTCATTCCAACTTTAAAATGTTACACATCTTTCTGACATTATTCGTGTAACACAACTTTTAAATCTGATTCTTACTTTTAGAGATATTAAACATTGTTCAGACCTTGGTAAAGAGGTTTTCTTCAGATTTTAACATTAACTAGAGTGCGTGATGTCACAGAGTGGAGCAAATCTTGAAATTTGCCTTCATATTTTTTTTTAAAACTGCCATAATTCCCAAACCCTACATTCCTGAGACATCATTTTTCATGACAAACGTAGGAAAACATCTCGTAGCTTGAAAAATGACAAATAATTAAGCAAAAATAATTAAACAAAATGCCTCTTGAGGGCATGAAGTGACAAAAACGTTCAACATGCCTCCATTAAAGCCCATTGTAATTTCAGGCTGATATTTCCTCACGGCAGCAGCCGCACACCTTTAGTTAAACTGCCAAAAAGGCCACATTATTAACCCGAAAGTACACACAAATTACACTTCAGATACTCAACTTCCTTGACATGCTTCACGTTTTGAAATTTCACAGATATCTGTTACGGTTCTTCGACAAAAAACTTTCACATGTAAGAGGTTTATCTCTTATTCAGAAAAATGGAAACCTTTGATCTCTGCACACCTCGTTAGCTCAAATATAAACACCTGTGTCATGGAACACGATGATGTCATAACTCCAACTGACATGCTCAGAGCAGCAGACTTCAGATAAAGGTTAATGGTCCTGCCCTCAACAGCAATTATGGGGTGTCATCATCATATGCCGAAGATCAAGAGGGCGATCAAGGGAAGAGAGAGAGGGCGATCAAGAGAAGAGAGAGAGTAATGTAACCTCTTAATGTAATGTATAACTCCTAACAGCCGTGAAGACATCTACGGGACAGTTTTGAGATTTCTTCAAATGCCGTTGCCATGGCAACACAATGCTCGCCTTGAAACACGGTTTTCTCATAACTTCAGTGAAAATTCTCCAAACGCCCCAAAACTTCACAGGTTTGGTAACGATGCAGCCATCAACGCATCTAAGCGTATTATGGGGTGTCATCAAATGCCGTTGCCATGGCGACAGACCACTCGCCATGAAACACGATGTCGCTGTAAGTCCAATCGACACGGTCCAATCGTCCCCCAATCTTCACTTGTATATCACCGGTCCATGCCTCAACAGCTCTACGCCAAATCTGAGATCTCACCATATGCCGCTTCCATGGAAACGCATCCCTCGCCATAAAATATGATGTCGCTATAACTCCTATGAAAATGTTCAAAAAGTGCTCAAACTTCACATGTGTGCTAACAGTCCAGCCTTGAAGACATCTATGGGACAATTTTGAGATTTCTTCAAATGCCGTTGCCATGGCAACACAATACCCGCCATGAAACACGGTTTTCTCATAACTTCAGTGAAAATGCTCCAAACGCCCCAAAACTTCACAGGTTTGGTAACGATGCAGCCATCAACGCATCTAAGCGTATTATGGGGTGTCATCAAATGCCGTTGCCATGGCGACAGATCATTCACCATCAAGTTAGTTCAGAAGTTTGCAGTTCAAATATTCTGCTGCTTTTCCAAGCCTTTTTACGTTCTTTTCTTCTCTCATCACACATTCAAGCCCCTGTGTTCATGTATCCTTTCAATCTAAATTCTTCACTTTCTTCTTACACATTACATTTCAGCATAGCAGTTTAGCGTCAGTTTTTCAACATAAAGCATTCCCACTAGCAATTTCTTCAGGAAATGCATTATCTAGTTCTTAATGAGGCCCACAGCAGATGATTCACAAAATGTTTGAACTCATTAAACCTTTCAGTGACACATCGAGAAGAAACCATTCAACAGCCGCGATCAACTGACTCACTGTTTGGTGAATGGCATCATTTCTGCTTCCTCTGACACAACTCCGTATTCATCCCATTTTCAGACTTTTACAAAGTCGTGGGAGCTTCCATGCCCCTCCACCCAGTAGTGGTAGGGAGGTGTGCACGTTAATGCAAGCCCTATACTCAAGCTTTTTAAGTCCTTTCTAAATTGTTTGCAAACAGTCGCTAACTTACACATCCTGCAGACAAAGAACAGGAAGAACATTTAGACCAAAAAGACACACAAAAAAAAAATCCCACATGTTCGATCAGCTCAGTTTGTTTTGGACATCCTGGCCTGCGAAAATATCTGTCTCTCTTTTGCTTGCTAGATATTGAGCTCCTTCACCCCAAATCAACATTGGCTGTCTGCCATTTGGCGTTGGGCAAATAGGATACATTTGTGTTGTGAGAGTGTTGTGTGTTGGGGTTAGCATCAGTTGACACTGAATTAGGCCAACAGCAAACAAAAGCAATGCACTCAAATTGGCTTCGGCTTGCAGCAAGCTGCAGACTGGGGGTTGATTCTCAGTTTGACTGGGTTTATGAACCCTTCCCCCTAACAGGTGAAAACTCACTGGAATCAGTTATTGAATACTTAAAATATTAAATCTGTTGTGTGTTTCCACACATAGATGATCTATTATCTATGGAGTTCTGCTGCAAGAAGACCACATGTTGCTCAGTAACTGTTTTTCCACCTGGATTTTGTATCATTTTCTGTCTTATATACCGTTTTTATCCCTTCTGATTCACTTGTTCTTGATTGTCCTCCTCTCAGACCATTGACATCACTACGACTGCAACAGGCTATGGCCTCGCCCTGGCGTGTGACACACTCATTTCTCAGGTGAGCAAACTACATTATCTAATTGCTCTATTGTTTCATTATGTGTTATCAACAGAAAGTCAATATTATGAACCTATGTAATCAGACTCAGTTTTTAAATTTGTTCTCTTTTGTGTTTTGCAGACATACGGCAGTAAAAACTTGAAGCGTGTGGGAGTAATTCTCCAGAAAAGTACATTGATCCTACTGCTGTTCACTCTGCCCTGCTGGGCTCTTCTCATCAACTCTCACAACCTGCTGATCATCTTGCACCAAGAGGAACAGGTGGCAAAGTAAATTCACAGTTTATGAAAGTTAATGATACAAGTTTGATGTGAACAAAATAGGGATGCTGCAAGACGCATATCCTTATCTTTAGTGCCATGGTTCTTACTGTTATCTTCAGTGTTACTGACATCCATATTATATTGTTTTATTCCAGGTTAGTGTGTACAGGAGTGCTTACATTAATTCAGTTTATGTACATGCTTTTAGGTGTTTCTAAGGCATTCCACCGAACTGCTGTACTGTACGAGTCCTGTCCTTTTATCAATTTTATTTTAAGGAAGTTAAAGGTAGGGTAGGTAATTCACTTCAGAAACACTTTTATTTATATTCCATGGAATGCTCTTAACATCCCGATAGCAATGAATACATTAAATGCTTTGACAATAAATACATTAAAAAAAATTCATCTGTGGAAACCGTGGCGCTGTAAAAAGCACGACCAATTATTTTAGCCTGCCTGTCAGCCTTCCATCTCGTGCACAAACTTATCTCATGCCCTCATTGGTCATGTGCACGTTCGTGTGTGTTGGAGGAGGGGCTCTGTAAGGAAGTCTGAAGGAAGAGGCAGATTTGTTCTGGTTGTGTACTTTCAAATTCTAGCACACTCAAGCTGGTTTCTCCATTCTTACCTACCCTAACTTTAAGCAATTTAATGTGAACAAACACATCGTTTTGATATTGCATATAAAGACATGTACAAATTGGGACATGTTAAATTACTGTTTATGTTTTTGCTCTACTTCTTTAGATGAATATTACTCTGTTTGCCTCCTTTTCAGAATCGCCCAGATCTACGTGATGGCATTTCTACCAGCTGTTCCAGTGAGTGCAATGAACTAAAAAAAAAGATAGGCCCAACATTTTGTACAGCCTTATTTAGTACATTGTGCGACCAAAAAAATAGCAAGCATGGCTATGGAACGAGAAAGAGATTAGAGTGATGATGTCTTTGTGTGATTCCTCAAAAAGTGAAGACTCAAACAGTGTTTGCCATTTCATTGTCTGTGTATAAAAAATGAATCATGCTCCATCGGGTTCCATTCATAATCTCTCTGGTGTATTAAAGTTATTAATTAAAGGCAGGAGCAACAGCATTAAGTGAAATAAAACATTAGCTGGTGGTGTCTCTGGACAAGCTTAACAGTCAATATATTTTCCAAACTTATAGTCAAGTTGTTGAAGCGAAGCAACTTATGACATCTAAAAGTAGCATCAAAGTGGAGAATTCAGGCTGTTATCTGAGAGTTTTACCAGTTTTAATATTCCCCTTTGTCTCTCCCTGCTACAGGCCATGTTTGTGCACATGCTGCAAGTTGCCTACCTGCAGAACCAGGTACGTTTATGAGTGGAAAAAGGTTCACTTCTCGTTCACTGAAGTTCAGTAGGGTGCCCTGCCTCAAAAAAAGGACTATCTTAATATTTCCCCAATCAGGAAATGGTAACACTCAAGTAGTAAAAAAAAAGAATAGCTTCATCTTTAAAACTGAGAACATGGTAAACATTTTACTGTGAGCATGTTAGCTTAGCCTCACCAAGCTGCTAGCATGGCTGTTGCCTGTCATGTTACCAGGGTGCTGTATTTGTTCTATATTGAATCTACATTAATAACGCTCTTTCAATATAAGCTACACAGATGGATAGCTGATTGTGAATTCATGTTTTTCTGTCAGGGGATCATTCTGCCTCAGATGTACACGGCAGCAGTAGCAAACATTTTCAACTTGGGGGCCAACTATGTCTTAATCTTCAGCCTCGACATGGGTGTCATGTAAGTGTCATGCTTTTTCTCCTAACATTTGCATTGTTAATAAACGTTGTGCAGCTAGACAGTCTATGGTATCAGGCCTCAAGTATCATGACCGATAAACGGTCCAAGTGACTGTACACCTTTACAAAGCAGAGAAACTCTGCTGATCACTGCTGTTCAAACAGCAAAAGGCTGTGGGCTGATGCACAGCCAGGATTTTGTGAATAAGGGACAGGAGGTCAGAGAGCTCATTATGCACTTCAATATATCTAAGAAGATTTGTTTTTTGTTAAAACTAAGCCAGCAGTATACTGATGTTTATTATTTGTGTACTTTATTTTTAGAGAGAGGGAGGCAGTGTAGGAAAAGAAGAGAGCGCTGTGACAGGAGTTGATCCTGGTCCAGCTGGACAAACATTTGGTTCAACAGGCAGTCCACTAAACCAATCAAGTGGTCGGGTCAAGTCAGGTCTGTCCCTCCCCTCCCATTTAGATTCCACATTTTCAAAACGTAGTCTATGACCCTTAGAAATGAAGTGTGCCTGTCTCTTTGCTGACCTTTTTTGACCTCTCAGTCCTTCGGGATAGAGTCACAGTAGATGTAGACCATCACTACTATTAGAAGTATTCGATGTTCTCGCGTCCAGGAGAGGAGCTTAGAATGAAGAGACTAATGGAGTCTCCGAAAAGGTTCAAATTGGTGAGTTTAATTAAATGGCACGATGATACAACAAGCAGAGGGTAGGGAAAAGACAAAGCAGGTGATGTCTCTCGTGGAGCTCCAGCGAACAAAAGGTCTCGTCTTCTCCTTCCCGATCTCCTTTATCTTCTTCTCGTTCCCTCCTGCTGTGTAGATAGGGGGTACGCCCTCCTCAGTCTTCGACATCGCGTAATACAGAGGCCTTTGACATTCTGTATTCCCTGCCTACTTCCTTAAGCCTTTTCTCCTCATCTCTTTCATGACTTTCTATTTAATACCTTATAAACAGCTGTAGGTTAGTTTAAAACATTGTTCGCGACATGTAACATACTGACCGGATATGAAGGATTTTCAGAATAAAGGCTTGGCATTGAGACTTTGAGAACTTCCGGGTTTTTTCACAATAAAACAGCTTTTAAAACTGACGATATATTTTAGACTAATTATGCTATTAACATTGATTTTAATTTCTAACAATCCCTCCTTTCACACCTTTTAAGGTGTGAACACAATACTGAAATTAATGAGTTCTTCATCTGTAAACATTGATTTTAAATTTCTAACAATCCCTCCTTTCACACCTTTTAAGGTGTGAACATAATACTGAAATTAATGAGTTCTTCATCTGAACTTTGCATAGTACATAACTCATATCAAAAACATACAATCAGAATGGAATGGTTTAAATAACCGTCATTAAAATACGAAAATACAACAAAAAATAAAAAAAATACTTTGGCTGGTATTAAACCTTGATTTTAATTTACAATCCCTCCTTTCACACCTTTTAAGGTGTGAACACAATACTGAAATTAATGAGTTCTTCTTTGCATAGTACATAACTCATATCAAAAACATACAATCAGAATGGAATGGTTTAAATAACAGTCATCAAAAATACAAAAAATACTTCGGTTGGTCTTCAACATAAGTTTTCCTTTGTGCTTAAACTTCTAGTTTTAACATTCAATATCACTTTTCAAAATAGCAGCAATTAGCTTGGTTTTTAACAATCCCTCCTTTCATACCCTTTAAGGTATGAACATAATACTGAAATCAATGAGTTCTTCTTTGCATAGTACATAACTCATATCAAAAACATACAATCAGAATGGAATGGTTTAAATAACCGTCATTAAAATACAAAAAATAAAAACTTTGGCTGGTCTTTAATCATAAAAGTTTTCTTTGTGCATAACTTCTAGTGTTAACATTCAATATCATGAATAGCACCACTTAGCTTGGTATCAGAACATTTCTTACTCCCTCCTTTCACAGAAATCCTTCTCATACTACATTCAGTGTTAAGGCACTTGTTTTTACAAAGTATAAAAGAAACAAACTTTTTTTATTTTTTTTTTTTAAATAGTACAAAGTAAAAATAAAAATAAAGATACACCATCTTGGAATAGTATAAAGTAATAAAGAATACACCATCTTGGAATAGTATAGAGTAATAAAGAATACACCATCTTGGAATAGTATAGTAAATTGCATTGATTCCCTTCATATTAGCATTGTAGCTGGTTCTTCCTTTAAATGATTTCATCATTTGAAGTATCACATCATTTGGACATTCTTTGAACAATCTCATCATCGAACATCTCCATTACTTAACATCTTTTACACACTCTCATCATTTACATCACGATCTGTATATGGGGGTGGGTAGTCTTGTTCTGTTAGTAGTTGAAACTGTCCCCTCATGAGATATTGACCCCTAGTGTGTTCCTGGGTGAGGGCCGCGGCGATCAATCGGTACGTTAGGGTGCGGGTACATGGAATGCAACTCCAACATCTAGCACTCCCCTGGGCACCCCTATGCTATCCTTGTACACTGTGGAGCCTAAACTCCCTCCTTTGACTGGTCTCTTAGCCCTACTGGTTTTGGGGTGTTTCGCCATGTTGATTAACTGCCCCACTGTCATTGGTACTGCATATAAAACATCACTGGCTGTACAAGTGCACAGGTCCCAGTCTAATCCTGTAGCAAGACTGCATACAAGGTTTTAGTTCCATGATACCATCAAACATCTACTCTGGGATACGGCATTTCAGACAGTCATTTCTGGGAGAAGATTTTGGTCAGTTACAACAATTGGAGAATTTCATCACTTATGGTTCCTACTTCATTACCGTTTGGTGGTCTGTTCTAATGCAGTGATAAAGTTCCTTAAATGGTGTGAAAACCGGTGGAATATCAATAACTCATTACACTAATTTATCTTCAATTCTAGTCTACTTAAAGAACTATGCTAACCCCTTTAACAGTGTGTGGAACCTTGGTGTCCGAGCATGTAACAGTTACTCCCTCCTCTATCAAGGATTTTAAAAACAGTAGTTATTTCATCCATGGTTTGTAGTTCAATTTAGGAATTTTCACTTATGGCGGATATGTTTCTACTTTAAATAACATCTCTAAATTTCAGGTCATCCCTGATTAAATGGATGACCATCAGGAGGTGGTGGCGCTTGTCTTTTAAACTCATAATTTGGTGCCGTGCGCTCCCTGTGAAGCTACAAGTAAGATTTAAAACAACTGCTGGGTGGGTTGAGTGACCCCTTCTCCCTAAACGATATGGGTTGTCAAAAATATGCATCATTGCAATGAGTGATCCAAGACCCCGCATGTATTACTCCCAATTATATAGCTTTTTCCAAAATTAAATTTGCAATCGCTCTTTGCCCAGTGTCCTTTAAAACTCTACATCTTGGACAAACAAATGTTATTTCCACCTTAACAGTTATCCTATGGTAATAACTATGCTACAATGGCGAAAACAATACTTTAGATTGTGATACTATATTTGGCTTGGTATTAGCTCTCCCTTTAACATTGTCCAACTAACACAGATTTGTCTGCTTTTATAGAGTGGTCACTAAAACTATCCCTTTAGCTGTAGATCAATATTGTAACACATTAGATCTCTACCAAATTCACCCATGAATAAAATCTCTTAGGGAATAATTTGTTTACATGATGGAAAGATTGAAAAATATGTTCTACTCTGTACTCCTAAGTCCCAAAACACTCACTGCTTAAAGTGTAAAGTGTGGTGAATATTTCCATCATGTCTACCCCTTTATCTCACAGTACCCTCAGTGTGTTTTAGGATTATTTCCTCATTTTACTTTAACAGTTTCCTCTTTATTACTATTTTAATTTACCAATTTATTAATTCATGGCTAATAAATCTTTTTGTCTTTACGTATTTATCAAGTCAATTCAAGTTTGTTTGTGAATAAGTGTGTTTATGTATAAACTCACTCACTCCCGTTTTCCTTTTCTCCTCCTCTTGTTGTCTCAAGCCACGACCCCCTCACATTCTGTTAGACCATGCCAACTCCTCTGGTTCCGTCTTCTCCTCAGTCCATCAGCTCTTAAATCCTTCCGCTGGTACTCTTTTCAGTGGCCCAACTGCTTTGCATTTCATCTCCTTCTTTACAGTCTCTTCGCTGTTGTATGGAGGGCGTATTCTGCTTTCATGTCCCACACTCTGCTCTTGTGCCAAATCTCGTGGCTCAGCTTGGAACTTCATGTCCTGTGGCGACTGATGAGAGTATGCCTCTATGTCAGCATGCTGTTCTGGTTCTGGATGCCTCAGGTGGAGATGGTTCTGGATGGAGTCTTGTCGTTGTTGGTTCAGCTCTGGTTCTCTGTCTGTTCGATGGAGAAGGAGGAGGAGTCTCCTGTAGTGAGGTCTTTTGTCTGATAGGGGTCGTAGCAGGCTGACAGGCAGAGAGAGAGAGTCCAGGTCTCGGGACGCATTACCTATAGAAATTCTAACACACTGAGGTAAAGTAAATCCAACCTTCTCCACTCTATCTTCTAATCATACTATCTGTTTTAAATGTTAAATGCCATCTAAACACAATTAATGTCTACTAATAAATGTACTATATCTCCAAACATTGTTTTTTCTCCCACTGTAACACATCTACTCCAAATAACTCTTTCAGGAAACCATTTTTTTTTCTATAAATTGAAATACTTACATGCTTCAAGCACCACATGTTTCACACACTATAAAAAGACGTCCCCATATATTCTCCAATATTTTAATTCTCACTATTACTTAGCAATAGTAACTTTTGTGACTGGATACATCTGTGCACAGTCGCCACAATCTGTTGGGGAATTTTGTTCATAGAGTTTGTACATACAGTTGTCCTCGTGGGTTAGTACCCTGTTTCTACTGTAATAACTTTTCAATAATTGTGCTCAGGTCACCAGTTGGTTGTCCATAGTCTTAACGGGGGTGTTTCTGGTACAGATTAAAACATGGATCCAGTGTATTTGGAGTTTCCCCTAATTTGTAAAACCCCATCACTTACATATCTCGATCACTTAAACCTATCTCATCATTTGATACAAGAACTGCATAGAAGTATTCGATGTTCTCGCGTCCAGGAGAGGAGCTTAGAATGAAGAGACTAATGGAGTCTCCGAAAAGGTTCAAATTGGTGAGTTTAATTAAATGGCACGATGATACAACAAGCAGAGGGTAGGGAAAAGACAAAGCAGGTGATGTCTCTCGTGGAGCTCCAGCGAACAAAAGGTCTCGTCTTCTCCTTCCCGATCTCCTTTATCTTCTTCTCGTTCCCTCCTGCTGTGTAGATAGGGGGTACGCCCTCCTCAGTCTTCGACATCGCGTAATACAGAGGCCTTTGACATTCTGTATTCCCTGCCTACTTCCTTAAGCCTTTTCTCCTCATCTCTTTCATGACTTTCTATTTAATACCTTATAAACAGCTGTAGGTTAGTTTAAAACATTGTTCGCGACATGTAACATACTGACCGGATATGAAGGATTTTCAGAATAAAGGCTTGGCATTGAGACTTTGAGAACTTCCGGGTTTTTTCACAATAAAACAGCTTTTAAAACTGACGATATATTTTAGACTAATTATGCTATTAACATTGATTTTAATTTCTAACACTACACAATGATCCAGTTTGAAAATATGTTCTATCATGTGTGTTTACAGTGGATCAGCAATTGCTAACAGCATTTCTCAGATTGCAATCTGCCTTCTGTTGTTTGGATACATCAGATGGAAGAAGCTCCATCAGCAAACATGGGGAGGCAAGTCATTTACACAATACGATTTGACTAAATACGTCTGTCGTCCTCTACAGGCCACATTGAGTATAACCCTTGTTATTCTCTGCAGGCTGGTCCACTGACTGTCTGCAGGAGTGGGGCTCCTACATGAGGCTGGCTGTCCCCAGTCTTTTCATGGTCTGCTTTGAATGGTGGATCTGGGATGTCGGCGGTATCCTTGCAGGTAAGTGCTGTGTTTTCTTAGAAATGTCTTGAGAGTCACTTTGAGTGAAGCTTTAATAAGTATCTGAAGATGTAGATAAAAAATGTCTACAAAGAAATATTTATACCATCAGAGTAAATGTAAATATGCTCTCCATTTACATAGGTTTTTGAAATTGCTGAATAAGAATATTTAAAAAATGTTAAACTGGAAAGACACACAAGTATCTGATTTTAAATAAACCAAATTACTTAAAACAAGGTACACAAGGTGAAGAAACAACAATTGTTTTCTGAAAAACAATTGTTGTGGACAGACAACAGATAACCTCCCCCATTCACTGTAACGTGTCTCCATAAGTTCACCTTATTTGCCCGAAAACAATTCTGGTTTAAAGAGGGAAGCCTAACCACCAGCAGTATGTGGTTAATTCATAATTAAGAGCAGCATATAAAAATAACCACTCATTTTCTGAATGTGACTTCTTTCATCAGGTGTACTTGGAGAGGTGGATCTTGCTGCCCAGCATGTATTGATGGAAATAGGAGCCATAACATATATGGTATTTGTAAACCACATTCTTAAAGATAATTCAGCATTTTGGGAAATTCACTTTAGATAGGAAGATCTATACCATTCAAAAAAGGACATACATTCAGAAGGATGTTAACAAAGCAATAAGATTGAAAGCAGGGTAAACATCTTAACACCTCTGGCTCTCGAAAAGAAAGTGAATAAGCGTATTTCAAAGCTGACTTAATAACTGATACCACAAAGTAACATTGGGTCCTTGCAGTTCCCTCTAGGTGTCCATGCAGCTGCCTGTGTGCGTGTTGGGAATGCTCTGGGGGCCGGGAACACTACCAGGGCCTTAGTCACCTGCAAAGTAGCTCTGTTTCTGTCAGGTATGTATACATTAGCATATTCTTGTAAACACAATCATACCCAATTTATACAAACTAAACCTGCCAAGAGGGAATGCTTGATGCTGATTGGTTGGGAGGTGTATGCGTTTCTAATAGATGACAGAAGAAAAATTCTACTTTAGTTGTATTGACAATCATGAAACATGCACCTTTTCTCCCATTTTTGTAATGTCTTTGCTATAGGAATGCTTGCTTTACTCCAGGGTGTCGTTATCGCTGGCTCTAAGTCTGTCGTTGGCTACATATTCACCTCTGATGAGTGAGTTTCAGATGAACACACGTTCATTTCTGCCACACGTAAAGGCAACTCTGTTTTGGTAATCTGCTTCTTCTACTCTCCGCAGAAACATTGTGAACATGGTCTCACAGAACCTCACAGTCTACATATTTCTACAGTTCTTTGATGCACTTCTGGTAAGTTATCACACAACAAAAAGGTCTTATTTCGCATTGAGTACAGAGAGCTTGTTTCATTGAATGAACATCACTTGTTTCTCTTTGTTTCAATCGGTGTGTGTTTTCAGTGTGTTTGCTCAGGGATTCTTGTGGGAGCTGGGATGCAGAAAATTGCCGCCTTGTCCAACCTGGTGTGTTACTACTGCGTTGGTCTGCCAGTGGGAATAGCTCTGATGTTTGTTGCCAAGCTCAGGATAGTAGGTAACGTTCCTATTTCAACCCTCTATGTTTTGGCAAACAAGCTATACAAAAATATGAAAAAAATATGTATTATTGCCGTGACTTTACGCCAACCTTTTTTGGAACAACGTCTCCGGATGGCACCCCTATGACTTCAGGGGAATGAGAGGTTGCCGTGGCATGGTAACAGCATGGTAACAGCATGGTAACATGACGCTCGTGCCTCGCCCCCCTCCTTTGCAGGGCGGCGTGGTCAGCTGCAGCTCATTTGCCACAGAATCAGCCCTTGCAAAAACAGGGCTGGAATACAGCAAATAGAGCGAAATGAGGCATGGATAAAATGCATGATCTGTTTGGTATTTTGAAAAAAAAACTTTGCAGACATGTTTTATATAGGTATGGCCCTACAATATATTATTCAAATATAGCATGATAGGTCCACTTTAATTCAGCAGTTGCCAGTGATCAGGGAGTTACCTCAATTTCCTTGTATGCCATCAAAGACTGGGGTTTGGACTTGAATCATATACATTTCTTGTATTGTCCAATGTGCAGCACATCCTCAGTATGGCAGCAGAAGTTGTAATTGAAGTAGCGTGTCTACATTTCAGTCAAGGTTCAAATACTTACACACAAACCCACTGGGTCCTGTTGCAACACACATTCCTTACATTTCCTTTCTATCACTCAAAGTGTGCATATATTGATACATGGAAACACACATCTACCTATTGTGTGTCAAAGCTCTGATCTTGTGAGTTGTATATCTTCTTGCTTTCTCATAGTGTTTTTATAGTCGTAATTGGGATTAATAGATTACTAGTATGGTAATTATGTTACTAAAAAAGACTCAGATAAGGTTTAGTTGTTATTAAATGTTATTTCTTCTTGCTTCTATCTTTATTTCTTTAGGCAAACCAAGAAGAACTTGCTAGAGACTTGCTACCTTATTGTGTAGCTCTTTGGAAATAAGTTTGACCAGACACTTTTTAAATATGTCTCTCGTGTAACATCCAATTTCTTTGACGTTTAGTGTACCTGATAAAGCCTCCAGCAACCCTTTTAATCAATTTAACCAGGCACTGAACGTCTGTAGGGATGGGAATGTTGATGATCATTGACATGTAATAACTTTGGGGATTGGCAGGGGACATTTTAAATGTGTCCATTAGCCGTTGGCGTGACTGTTTCTTAGTCTTTTTGTCATAAATGTCATATGTTTTTCTTTTTGTATGTGTGAAATGAATACACTGTAGATTCTTCTTTAATCGAGCCTTTTTGTGTCCCTCTGGTTAGGCTTGTGGCTGGGTATCTTTATCTGTGTTGTACTTGAGACGGGGTTCTTCCTCTTTCTAATCTTTAAACTCAACTGGAAGAAAATCACACACAAGGTAAGATATTTTAATCTTTCATTAAAGCATGCATGGCATAATAGATTGAGGGCATCATTTGAAACTTCCAATTAAAGGGGACCTATCATGCAAAATGCACTTTTGTACGTCTTTTATACATGAATATGTGTCCTCGGTGTTCCAGGGAACTCACCAAGTGTCAGAAAACACAACCCTCTCTATTTTCCTCCATACCCAAATCTCTAAAAAAGGGGCTGCAACGGATCTGATAAAAACTGATCCAGATTTGAACACTGTCCTGACGTCAGGACGGTGGCGCTACGGCTATTGGGCCAACTCCACCAATCAGGAGGAGACAGCCACGGCCATTGCCGTTCGAAAGCGCTGGAGACGCTGTAGTACATATGCCAGGCCTGTAGATGGTGCTGTTCTCACTGAATCAGCCCTTGCAAAAACAGAGCTAAAAAAAAGTGCAAATTGAGCGAAATGAGGCATGGCTAAAATGCATGATCTGTTTGGTATTTTGAAAAGAAAAAAGTATAAATATGCCTTATATAGGTATGGTCCTACACTATATTATTCAAATATAGCATGATAGGTCCACTTTAAGGGAAATATTTTTGGTATAATGGAGCTTCATCAGGCCTCGGAAGCAGGCAATCAATGATTGCTTCCTCCTAATTTTGGGAACATTTAAACTCTTCATGTTTCAGTATTTGCCTTTTTTCATTTGGATAGCTTTTACAGTTATCTCTCTTCACTCATTAGAATAAACAGAATACCCTACACGTTGAAGCAGAACATTGAATACATACTCAACAATGCTACAAATGACTGAATTAAGTAAATACAAAGTAAAGTAAAAATAAAGCCAATACTTTTACTATAAAATATTTTCCCTCATAAAACTCACTTTAATGCGTTTTCAGGCTCAACTGCGGGGTGGAAGAGGAGTGGTGGTGAGCTCAAAGCGCCCTATCAGTACTCTGCTAAATGAAGCGATGGTGCCGGACATCTCTGACTGCCCTATCACAGTGAGTGCATTACAGTATGTGGTGTGGAGTAAAGCAGGATGTTCTCCCTCCTTTGTCCCTGTTTATGATCTTTTAGCTACTCATACATTGATTAACAGCAACTTCTTTGCACTCCGAAGGAGTTGGATGGCGAAGCCCTGAAATCAGATGGCTACTGTCCAGTCAACTCCAAGGATCAGGAGCTGAAAGTGTTTCCTGAGGCAGAGGACAACAACATCAATGCAGTAGGAGCCGAGCGGGACGCTGAGCAGAGCGAAAAGACTTCCAAAGACACCAAAACTATAACACTGCTTTCAGTCACTGAGCTGATCCTGCGCAGAGGGCTCATCCTTGTTATTTCAGTTCTCATTTTGGCCACAGGTGTGGCTTTCCACGTTGCTTTCCCTGTACCTGAGTTCTCCGCCAAGAACAGTGCCAACTTCACCTTGAACTGGAATAATGACTCCACCCCTACACCACTGTCTCCACTACACCAGGACATCTGAGCTGTCTTTGAATGTCTCGAGTGGCTTAGCTCAGTTCTCATAAACTGACAATTTAGATCTCCTACAGGAAAAAAAGCCTAACATCCATAGTTATGCTTGTAGACCGGGGTTGTTTTTTGTAAAACTACAGCCTGACGTGTCAGGGAAAGAAAATACGCCTCAGTGCTGCACTGCTGAGCCAAAGAAAGCTGGAAGAAATATTAAATGAGACTGGCAGGATGAACAAAGGTCTTGCTACAAAGATCATCTTTTTTGCCCAGCCTGAGATGTTCAACTGGGATCACGAGACACATTATAAATCCCTCACTAGGAGACCCCGTGGGTTAGAGTGTTCCTCCACAGATAGCTTTTGATTTTCCTCCCCTTATTCTTGCCTTGATTTATGTTTTGCACTGACCTCAAATCATTTTGTCGTGTTTTAACTGTAAGTGTAAGATGACTGTAAATATCTGATGTAAAATGTACATGTTTAAATGTAAATATGTAACATGAGTATATTATTGCATTGTCTTCCTATATCACTGCCACTCCTGGTAAACTCCAGGACAGAGGTGATTGATAAATAATAAGCTAATTATTTTTTACTGTTTATGTATGACTGCCATTTGATTGAACCCTAATCAATACAAACAATACTTTAACAATAATTATATTTTATATTTATATATTTTATATAATATATATATTTATATATTATATTTATATTAAAACAGTATATTTGATAACCACATTTTATTGTGCACTGTGCAGCTATATTTTATGTGAACCTTTTAAGTGTTTCTTTATTGGTAACAGCCAAAAATCTAGACCTTGAACCCCGTGACATGGAAGTCCTTTGGTCTCATTATATGTAAATGTATAACATGATTTTAGGAGGAGAGACCGTACAGCTGTGACCAGTGTGTGGGAAGATGGCGCCTGTGTCGGCTCGCCGCTCCCTCACCCCTAGATTCCACCGGGTCCGTCTGCGTCGCGTTACGGCTGCGCCACGGTTTTGGTCCGGCCTCCTCCGGCGTCATACCCTACCAGGCGCGTTTCAGAAGCATTTCAGAAGCGGAGTTTTTGTTGATTTGGGCATATTTCCTGGACAGGCTACGTTGTACAGACAAAGTTAATAATAATTGTAATATTCCAGTTATAAACGACATGAATCAAAGATGTGTTGCTGTATTTTAGTGGTAAAAAAATGCATTCATCATCATAATTATTCTATAATTTACACAGTGCCTGTAAACCGGAGGAGAACGCTGGCATTTCTCCTCCTACTTGAAAGACTACGGAGGGATAGGGTCTGCAAAATGTGTGTGTGTATATATATATATATATGCTATATATGCTCTGAACGTTCCACTTCCTGCCTGCCCGACATTACCTTACGGCTGCGTCGCGTCAAAAATAGGATTCATCCTAATTTTAGAGGAGCCCTGCGCCGAGACGCTTCTGGGACGCTTCTGAGCCGTAACGCGCCGCGTGTGGTGGAATAACACCCATTGACTAGAGTGGCCGCGATCGCCGTGAGCACCGCGGCGCAGCCGTAACGCGCCCGTAACCCCTAGATTCCACCGGGTCCGTCTGCGCCGCGTTGCGGTTTTGGTCCGGCCTCCTCCGGCGTCATACCCTACCAGGCGCGTTTCAGAAGCATTTCAGAAGCGGAGCGTCTTGCCTGCCGGCTCGCAGTTTTTGTTGATTTGGGCATATTTCCTGGACAGGCTACGTTGTACAGACAAAGTTAATAATAACTGTAATATTCCAGTTATAAACGACATGAATCAAAGATGTGTTGCTGTATTTTAGTGGTAAGAAAATGCATTCATCATCATAATTATTCTATATATATAATTTACACAGTGCCTGTAAACCGGAGGAGAACGCTGGCATTTCTCCTCCTACTTGAAAGACTACGGAGGGATAGGGTCTGCAAAATTATTTTGTGTGTGTGTATATATAGCTCTGAACGTTCCACTTCCTGCCTGCCCGACCTTACGTTACGGCTGCGCCGCGACAAAAATAGGATTCGATCCTAAATTTAGAGGAGCCCTGCGCCGAGCCGCTTCTAGGACGCTTCTGAGCCGTAACGCGTCGCGTGTGGTGGAATAGCACCCATTGACTAGAGTGGCCGCGATCGCCGTGAGCACCGTAACGCGCCCGTAACGCGCCCGTAACGCGCCGCAGACGGACCCGGTGGAATCTAGGGGTCAGCTCTCTGCCTTTAGCTATCCTCTTTTTGTTTTGTTTGTTTGTCAGAATGTCTCTGCTCTGCTCGTCTACGATCGCCAAGCTCTCCTCCACCTCAGACCCTCACTGGAGTTTACATTGCTGCCCAAACCTACATCTGGCAACCATAAATCGCCCCCCCCCTCTCTACTGTCGGATATTCCCACCTACCTGCGCCGGTTGCCCTGCATCCTGCCTCGCCGAAAGCGCTTTAGACGACGGGGAAAGCGTGGTGGTGCACTGGTCCATCATACCTGACGGCTTCTTCTGGGACTTATCCACGCCTCGGATGTCATGGCCCTCCCGCTGCACGCCATGTGAGGGATCGGTGGATTCGCCCTGTCTTTCCGGAGCTGCGGCCTCTGCTGGGCCCGCTGGCAGCTCCTCCTGCCCGACTGACTGCTCCCGGCCCGCGCAGCGTTCAACATTACATTCATTTAATGTAAATACGATTGGATATATCGTCAAAGGCTAGCCGACAGACCGACAGACAGAGGCCTGAATCCTACACACTACTGAAACCACAATCAGGTCATCTACGATCTGCGGAGGCCTGCTCCCACCTGTAGAGTACGGCTGTACTGAGGAGGATTTTATCCCGGAGACATCGCGGTGAGACGGAGTGGCTCCACGCTTCGGGCTGGGGCCTGCTTCCACCGGGCGTGTGCTGCTGTGCGGAGGAGGATTTGCCGCGGCTGGGGCCTGCTTTCCACCTGTCCTGGTTCTGCTGTTGCGGAGGCCTGCTCCCACCTGTCGTGTGCTGCAGTGTCGTGTGCTGCTTTGCTGAGGAGACCTTTTACCCCGGGGATACCACGGAGAGACCGGAGCGCTTCCACGCTGCTGCTTTCGCCTGTCCTTTGCTGCTGTGAGGAGGAGGATTTTTGCCCCAGGAACATCGCGGATACTGTGTGCTGGTCTGGGAAAATGGCCCATATCGTGATTCTGCTGTGCCTGTTAACTGTTCTGGACTATGAGAAGATCTCTAGTCATTCTGAGAAGTCTACTGGATTCAGGTCTGTTCTGCCACCCGCAGTGGGCATCCCCTGCAAAGGGTCGGATGTGTTACACAAACAGTTACCGGTTGCCTTGTCGCAGACAATCTGCTCGACAAAATATGTTTGTCTTTTTTGTTTGCCTGCGATGATGGTACTTCAGGACTGCTTCTTAAACTCTAATCAAACTCTCGCAGACTTTTCCGGTGATTCTAAAGTAGATGACAATGTGTGCGTGTCGTTTAAGAGGAAAAGATGCCTGTTTTTTTTGTTGTTATTACTGTCAGGAAATGTTCAACCTAACCCTGGTCCGCCCAGTAGTAGTAGTCAGATCGCTACTCCTGCTGATTTTAAAGCTAGGTCTGGGTTGGGTTTCATCCACTTGAATGTACGCAGTCTGTTAGGTAAACTAGATTTTGTCCGCATTTGGGCAAGCTCGACTGACGCTGACGTCATTGTTTTATCAGAAACATGGCTAAATAAAACTATTTTGGCCTCTGACATATCCTTAAATGGTTATAATGTGTATCGTACCGACCGGCCTAATAAAGGTGGTGGCGTTGCCATTTATGTTAAGAATAAGTTCAGTGTAACCACATTGGTTTCCAAATCTGTCAGTAAGCAATTCGAATTTTTAGCCTTAAATATAGAAGTGGCAAAGGGGCAACAAGTCATGGTGGTGGGGTGTTACAGACCCCCCTCAGCTTTCAAGGACTCCTTGTCTTCACTAGCAAAACTTTTATCGCAACTAGACTATAAGGAAATAGTGCTACTTGGAGATTTTAACTGGGACTGGTTAACTGCAGTATCAGAGGATTTTAAAAACCTTTGTATCTCTCTGAATGTTACTCAGATTGTTGACAGTCCTACTCGCCCTAACGTTAAGTCCCCTAATAAATCCTCCCTAATTGATCTCATTCTAACTAATGTTCCCTATAAATACCCATCTGTGGGAGTATTTGCAAATGATGTGAGTGACCACTGTGTTGTAGCCACAATTAGGGACACTAAGGTCCAAAAGGTTAAACCTCGTATTATTATTAAGAGACACATAAAACATTTTGTGGAGCAGGGTTTTGTTCATGATCTGTTTGGGTTTGATTGGGGAAAAATCGATCTGTGTGCTGATGTTGAAACTGCATGGTCTTATTTTTATCTTGGTTTTATGGAGATCATTGATAGACATGCACCCCTACGTACTTTTAGAGTAAAGGGACGAGACAATCCTTGGTTTTCTGCTGAACTGTCCAGTCTCCTGCATGAGAGAAACAAGGCCTGGGCAAAGGCTAGGAAATCAGGCTCAGAGGTAGAATGGCTGCGTTTTAGGCAGCTAAGAAATAGCTTCACTTCACAGGTCAAAAGTGCTAAGTCGAAGTACTATTTGTCAGTTACTACAGAAAACCTAAATAATCCTAGGAAATTTTGGAAAGCCATAAAATCGATATCCACCGGTGAGATCCGAAATGAGCTACCTCCGTGCATTACCACAGCATCTGGCTCTATATCGGACAGGGCTACTATGTTAAATTGTTTTAATGAGCATTTTGTGTCCTGCGGTTCTATGTTTGATTCTGTGACTAACTCTGCTTCTGTGAACACCACAGTCTGTGACTCTGAACAATGTGGTCTGGAAAACCCTTTCAGTTTTACTCCTTTTACTGTAAATGTTGTTCATGAAGCTTTAACCAAGTTAGATCCTAAGAAACCGGCCGGCCCGGACAACGTAGAACCTTTCTTTTTAAAGATAGCTGCAGATTTTATTGCTCCACCTCTTACTTCTCTTTTTAACCTCTCCCTCAGCACAAATACAATTCCAAAAGTATGGAAGTCAGCGTATGTCCTGCCACTACTAAAAGGAGGGGAGGCAACTGTTTTAAATAACTATAGGCCAATCTCGAAATTGTCAGTTCTGGCTAAGGTTCTTGAACGCCTAGTGAGTGAACAGGTAAAGGAGTTTTTATGTAAAAATAATATCCTGTCTAAACATCAGTCAGGCTTCAGAAAGCAACATAGCACCATCACTGCCACAATGAAAGTGGTGACTGACATTACAAGTATTTTAGATAAAAAGCAGAGTTGTGCAGCTCTATTTATTGACCTTTCCAAAGCGTTTGACACCGTCGATCATCGCATCTTAAAGCAGAGGCTACTCAGTATTGGCTTATCCAGCCATGCAGTGGGGTGGTTTGTGAACTACCTCTCTGAAAGGTCCCAATAGCCGCGTTCACACCAAGTACTTTCCTGTACTTAGTTCCTGCACTAAGAGCCCCGGCGCTTTTAACCCCAGGGCACTTAGTAAAGATCGCGTTCACACCGGAGTACTTTTCCCTGAGGGAAGATTACGCAAATGAGCCGCTGACGTCACTTCTTCTTCTTCTGCTTTGGCTTTATTGGCAGGCCACAAACCACTTCACGGCGAGTACAGTAGGTGGCGGTAAGCA